GTGAGAGTCAGCCCCCCCTTCTGGCCGGAATACGTGTGGCCTTCCTCGGCCAACGCCGACAGTGAGAGAAGGTTGTGGGGGGACTCGGGCACATGAGCGTCATTCAGGATTAGCACTGGTACCCTACCGCCTTCGGTCAGAAAGACGACGGTCACGTCTCCGTACCCTAGGAGAGGAACGGGGGCCTTGTTGCCTCCGATCCCCTTGACCCAACCACTACACTCGCGGTAGTTCACGAACGCGTTTGCGCATCGGAACATGGAGCACGTGGCTGCTGTTTCAGCCACGTACACCATGACATGCTGGCCTAGTTCCGTTACCTCCACTAGACCTAGGTCAACAGCACCACACTCGCCTGGCAGGCCCGGCGCCGCGCAGAAGGCCTGGTTGTCGACGGAGTCGGCGTCGCTGTCGGCATGGACGATCTGCGCCAGGACGGCCTCCTCCGTCGCGCACTTGTCCTTGCTCTGACCCCATCCTGCGCAGTGTGAGCACTGCGGGAGGTAGTCGCTCTCCTTGGTGGTGCAGTCCTGCTGCGTGTGTCCGAAACGGCCACACGTGAAGCACCGGCCCGGGAACTTCTTGTCCCCGGTACCGCCGCCATCTGCCCCACCAGAGCCACTCCCCTTGCTCTCCTCGACGCCGCCACCGCCTTTTCCGCTGCTGTCGCCGCCCCCGCGGCCGCCGCTGCGGCCACCGCCACGACCACGCCAGGACGACCGCCCTCGGCGGCCGCCCCCACGCCACGACGACCGCCCACGGCGGCCGCCTCCATCGGCGAGGTAGGCCTGCTCGGCGCCGCGCGCGCCCTTGCCTTTCCCCGCCTTCACCTTCTCCATGATCGATAGATATTCGATGGTGACCTCCTTTAGGACGTCACTCCTTGTCAACCTCTCCTCGTGTCTGAGGGCGTGCTTGGTCATAGCGTACTCGTTGGAGAGGGCATCCAAGAAGAGGTGCAAAACGAAGGTTTCGTTAACATCAAGCCCCCGTTTCGAAAGGGACTCTGCGGTGGCAAGCATACTGTTGAGAGCATGTTGCGGATTCTCTGCCAATGTGTCATTCAATTCTCACGCAATGTCTATTTCATCAAGAGATACTTAACCTACTACTTCTATACCTACAAATGCGTTGCTTCGCCTTCTTAAATTTAAGCATGCCACGGTTTTACGAGTGGCGTGGAACAACAAAAAAAGCTTGCCACCTTACCGTCCTCGCCCTCCTTTCTATACCAACAATGGCAAGTGCGTGGGCCTTCCAGGAACCACACTACGAATGCAAGGGACGCCAAAACCCGAACGTATCGAAAACACGTTGCGCGAAACGAATGTGTCCCAGAAGTATGTGTCCCAGAAGTATGTAATATGGCGATAATGCAGGAATGCCACCTGGATCACCCCTAGAGCAATGAGCCCTCCCATATCCCCACCCAATTCCCGCTCGCTCTCATCCCTCCCTCATACTGCGAGATATTTCCCCACCGCTCCGTCAACCTGCGACATTATTAACCATCGCAAAAAGTGAGAAGGGCGATCGGGGGGAGGTCGGGTGGGCGGAAATTGCAAGGCAACACTGCTACTACTGCTGTACATCGTTTTTTATATTTCTGGTGCGCCGATCTGCTGTTTCGTTGCGCAAACACTCGAGACATGGATAATCGACACAGTGGGCAGGATGGCACACAAATATGTTGAGGCGTGGGATAGCAGAAAAGGCGTTCCTGTACCGAAACAAGGGGAGAATGGCATCAAGATGATGGTGCAAGCTCGTTCTGTGGCAGAAGAAAATCAAAGGGGTGGGCTGCCTGAATCGATTCTTACTTTCGGAGACCACCTTCACTATTTCGTTCTTAAAGTCTTCCAAAATGCCGTTGGCGGTGCCCCGTTTCTCCGCGCTGTATCCTCGTTGTCGAGCGCTGCTTTCGCGCCAGCTGCGTCCGTTGCTCTCGGGATGGCCTTCCCTCTACCAGCCGTCTACTCGGTCACGCGCGGAAGATTCCTTTTTTTATTTTCTTCCTCACTGACATGAAACAAAAAAAGTGGCAACGTTGCGGGACGCTCAGTCAAATATTGAAGCATTCGCACCTCAGAAATTGTCGGGTGCGCGAGAGAGAGCGGTAGGTCAATGTAGGTGAAAACGTACTGCAAAAAAAAAATACCTTTTTTCCTCGTGTCGTGGTCACGCATGTTTGGTGTCGACAACAGTTGCAGGGGTGATGGGGCGTATTCTGACGAATACGTTGCACTGCTGTACGAACCAATCCACATTCTTGTCTTACAAGGACTGCACGCTGGCAGAATGGCTGCTGCTGTGAACGTATACACGCCACAACTAACTCATGAGTGAAAAAACATGCTGTACATTTGTGTACTGCTGCACATGATACACTAAACAACAAACGATTTACCACTGTTGCTGCCGACTTGACTGACGGATTACAGCAGGTTTCGGTGACACAGCAGTAGTTTGGGGGACACAGCAGTGGTACTCTCGGCATGTATGTGCCCATCCATGTACAAACTACATGTAGACGCCGACTACAGCTGCTTTACGCAGTGGGTAACAGCAGCACCGCGTCGGTGGCGCCAGCAACCTCGATGCCCGAGACATGATGGCTTCTCCTTTCAACAACCTGGCTGACGCTATCCAGCAAGTAGGGCATGCTCTCGGCATCTTGCTGCTTCGCGCTCGTTCGCCTTGGCCGGAGGTGTTGCCTGGCGGCCGGCCGAGCAGGGAAACCGAATGCGGCTGGACCTACAGCAGCGCCGTTATCCTGCCGGGATTTGCCCTTGGTGACTACTACCCCTCTCTGTGTTGGACCCTACCATGGTGTCGCGCGTGTGGGGCCGCTATCTGTGGCGTGCGTGTTGTGTTTTGAGGGGCATGCCCACTCGCCATCACATGCGGCGAGATTTATCTGGAAAGTTGCCTTGCAGCGCGTTTACAGTGAAGATAGATAGATGTTGATTCCAAATATTTGACTCCAAATATTTGGATCCTTTTAAAAACGGGTCAAATAAATCACTCTGTGTTTACCCTACCTAGGGTCGCGGAGATTGCCACGTTCATCGCCGCATCACACACGTGCCCGGCGGCCTGCTCCCTAGTCTCTCTCCCCCCTTTCACACAGCACAGGATACAAGAACAATGGCTGAGGTGAGTCCTTACTGGCAAAGGAGGTAGGACTTCCCTTATCACTCTCACTGCCGAAATGAAGCAGTCAGTGCCAGAAGTTTCTCACCATACTGGCGGTACTGCTGGTGTGGTGAACCCTTTGGCACACGACACTGGCGTTCTAATTCGTGTCTAGAGGTTGGCATGGCTACGTTAGCACCGACTGGTCTGTGGTATAATATGGCCACGGAACGATTTGGTTTGCTTGGATCACGTCGTGTGTACCCCGCTTGATTGTTTTCTTTTTGTAGGCGGCGTGCCCGTTGATGATGTAGACATAGTCTACATACCTAATATTACCTATTCGGATATTTCTTTACGTACAAGGAGATCCACCTAAGCTCCTCATGCACATGCTTTCACAGCAAATCAAAGCCGGTGTGTGTTCTGCTGGGTTCACCCTACACGGCGCGCCGCCTACGGCCTCGAGATTCGCCCGGAGCGCTGAGCTATGGCTGCTCAAAGCTGTATTGCGGGGGGTCGCCCGTTTTTCCGGTTCTTCCGAGGGAGGGCTGGAAACGTACACATTTCTTTGCGCTCAGCGACGCTATGATATGCGCAGCTCTCCTTTGGTGTGTCTCATCTTGGGGAGGTTTGGGGATCGATGCGCCACCTAAGGCCTCGATCTTCGACGTCGCGGCGGAGTTGCGTCCGTTTGAAGCCGTCAGCGCAAGTTTCCGGTGACGTCACCAGTACTAGAGTAAAGTAACACCCTCTATTAAGGGACACTTTTTTCAAATGGACGTATCTCGGCGCACAATCCGCGGAGACCACTGGCGGGTTCCGAGCTAAAGACGAATCACCTTTCCCACCTCGGAGAAGAAAAAAAAAAAAAATTGACTTCGCAGATCGTTCTCAAACGCCCAAAAACGACGTTTAAAAAAAGTTCCCAAAAAAAAAAAGTTCCCCTTCAGCCCGAACTTTTTTTTTCGCCGCATTGCCGAACTTTTTCGCCACGGGAATCGTCGCCAATCGATTCCGCTTGGTCGAATTAGGGGGGGTAGAGCCACTCAGAAAGTTGGTCAGACAAAAAGTGGTGGTGGGAAGCGGGCTTGAAAATGCTGCGCGGCCAGGGCCCAGCGGTGACTGCCGCTGGCGAATGTACACGCATCATGTATGCTGGCCAAACAAGATACGAGGTTATCCACAAGTGGTCCCCACACGAACGAGGAATCAAGCTTCGCACCACCTTGTTGGACAGCAAGAGGAAGGGCAGAAAAGCCGCGGAGAACACAGGCTACTGCGAGGCTAGCGAAGTGGTTTTGTCCAACTTGGCCCGCGAAAAGGCTGACGCCATCATGGCGGGCAAGCGAAACGCAGCTCGGAAGAACGGCATACCACAAGGCGGCGGAAGCGGGGGTTGCGGGGCAGACAGGGTTATGTCCTGCCCCGTCATCGCCGCCATCCAGGGTTCGCATGAGGGATTGAGGACACGTTCTTCTGCCACCACCAACCCGGCTGCTAATAACCCAGAGGTAAGCTGCGCGTCCGGTTGGGCAAGTACGATGTGTGGTACTGCTGTAGCACGGGTGCTGCTGCCTGCTGCCTGCTGCCTGCTGCTGCCTGCTG